ATCGCATTTTTCTTTTATCGGCAATCTAAACCGCTCCCCTTCCCGGAACAAGTTAAAAAATATATAGAATATTCGGCACTATTTACCCTTTACTGCCCCAGTCATCCGAAATCAGGCCAGTTCCTGACCGACTTTTTTCTCCGTGGGCAGATTTGCTCAAATGTTGTCTCCTGGGGTAGTTTGACCTCCTGAATACGAATATCACATTCGCTTAGCCCGAAACTTCCTGGCGCCCGCGCCACAGGCGCCGGTGATTTGGTATTTTGGCGCCAACGCCTGTAGCGTGGGCTTCAAGACATTTCGGGCCGAGCGGATGTGATATTCGTGTTCAGGGGGTCAAACTACCCCTGGGAGCAAGTTTTCAGCGAATTTGGTGATTTCGAGTATTTTGGCGCCGGCGCCCGTGGCGCGGGCGCCAGGAGGTTTCGGGTTAAGCGGATGCGATATTCGTGTTCAGCGGGTCGAACTACCCCTGGAGCCAAGTTTTCAGCAAATTCTGCCCACGGAGAAAAAAGTCGGTCAGGAACTGGCCTGATTTCGGATGACTGGGGCAGTAAAGGGTAAATAGTGCCGATTGTTCTTTATAAGTTGTTCGCCTCCATCACTATCTTCACACGATATCCGGTATATGGGGAGGGCGTGGTTGCGTGCTGAGCTTAGCGCAGGCTGCTTTCTAGGCGGGTGTTCAAATTTGAGAAAACGATCCTCTTTTGTATTGGACAAAGCCACTAATACATTATTCAGGGAAAGGATATTCCTGTCAGAAGCACTGCCGCCGCTGCGTTTGAATATAGTACGCCACGCCCTCCCCATCTAGTCGGATGGAGCGCAACTTCATGCACCCGTCATATGCATTATAATTTCAGAGCGATGAATTCTCAACTGATTCTACTTGTATGTTTTCTGCTGATATTTCGTGGAATCAACTCAGCTGAGCATGGCTCTTCGTCAAACATCAACGTTGGCCATGTGGGAGGTCAAAATCGTCCTGCAAACACTATGACGCGATCATTCCTAGAAACAAACTCTCTTCGTGGAGGTGCCATGAGTGCACGAAGAGGAAGAGTTCCATGGAATCAAGAGTGAGTCACATGTTTTCTGTTCTATCATAGCCGAAAGTGCAAATGAATTTGGATTGAAATGTGCAGTAAAGTTCGCAGAAAAC